TGGCTTTGACTGTTTTTATCGCTTCAATCAGGTTGTATGGACTGTAGTACTACGGGTACACGATGAACTACTCGATCGTCGCCCTTATCCCGTTGGAGAGTCGAGTCGGTTTCTCAATCACTTACCTGTTCCATGCGCGTATATCGGTATTGTATTACTCGGTCGCACTCGACGGTTCGTTTTACCGCTGCTCGTTTTCAAGCTTCAGCATCGATATCCGTCGCACATAGCGCTGTTATTTCAGTGTGCAGCCAACTACGTGATTGCAGAAAAACCGAGTTACCGGGCAAATGAAAAGAGAAATTCCATCCATAAAACGTCAATTTTGCTGTCATACCAATTTAAATCAAGTTGACTATATAAACCATTTACATACACGGAAATAAAACTGTAAATATCGCAATGATGCGGAAACAAAAAAAAAAAACAATCGCTGTGATTTAACAGAAGACCTTCTCTGGTAATGACATTTTAGCAACCGCCGCCATTTGCATGCTGTACATGAAATCTGAGTTTCTGGTGTTGTCACGGAGCATTGAACATGGTATAAATTCCCAACAATACTACTAGCGGTTTTACTTCTTAATGTGTCAACTATGACGCTCCCTTGGCTCAAAAAAGCAATGATGCATACGTTATGTACATACGCCATCGTGACTCAAAACCAATCCTAACTACCAGCAGATTTGTGGCATTTATTGTGGTGTTTATTTTTTATTTGTAAACTTCAGACATTATTAATGTGATTTTATAACTGTAATATTGTGGGTCAGCTCTATAAAGGTTTCAGTCTAGGTGGCTTCTTTTGACGATCATACTGTCTCTATACTCCTGAACCGACGCGTCTGCGCAAACCATTAAGCTAAATGCAGCATCGGGGAAAGGTTAAAACACTAATTTACTATGAATATGACAAGACATACCGTAATTAGGCCTGTATTAAATACTGTTTGCGACGAGACAGTATTGCGTGTTTGTCTGCACAGTTTGTCTGTATCATTGTTTTCTTTGTTTCGTCCCGATGGTACTTGTATTTAGTATTTTAACCGACTGCCTGTCAATATTCGACATTGTAGTCGTGATTGTAAGTGTTCACACGAGGCTGATTACTTCAGCACAGAAGAAAATATATCGACAGTATAATCACACTAACATAATTGGTATTGCTGATTTAAGATGACATCGACTAATGCCTTCGGCTGCGGATGGACTCAAGTTCCCGTCGAGATTGATTTTTATTTGCCCTCTTTCGCGGTTATTGATATTGATGATACGGATACCACATTGGTTCTTATAATATATTGTTGATAATTCTCGACATGGATGAATTCTCACAGAATGAAAAAAAAATAACAAGTAGTAAATTGAAGATAACAACACACTGATCTTGAGAAAATCGGTAATATTTAAATATACCAAAAGTACCATGGCAGTCATTGTAAAACATTCACCCCAAGAAATATTCTGTTGAGATATGGGAAGATGTTCCAGGTTCCAAAACAAAATGGCCGCAAGTACTTTAATTCGACCACCAAACCCATAGTCCCCCCCCCCCCCAATGTAACAATTGCATCTTGAGCCTCGCAATACATATCCTGGATTCAACCAACTATTCAATTTAGCAAAACACGATTGACAATGTGCTCATTTATGTGTCGGATTCTATCATCAAGAATGATAACGTCACAGATGTGATGACGAGCACTACATGGGGAGCTTGACACTGAACGTGTACAAGTTCGTTCCGTCACGGACATATTTTATTTACACGAACAAAAAAGGTTCAATTAACCTCAGTAACATTGTAGCAATGCTCCCACGCTGCTAGCACGACTATGTCGCCATACCACAGGAGTACGACGTACCCCTACGCCCGAATACTTCCACCATAAGCCCTTATATGGGCATTGCATAATAAGTCGGTGCAATGCCCAAAGGTGAAATGTCACTCATAGAAAATACGTTCCATTAAAACATTATTTAAGTGCAACGTTCGCTGCTTATCTATGCGTTTTTAGTCACAATAACATAGACACTACAACGACTGAAGGTTACATTTCAACAGAAAGATGACGATTAAACACTAACACGGTTTTGAATAATTACGGTCATTCCAACCTTATTATTTTTTGCGAAGTTATATCTTTATAGTAACGTCAGTTTCTTTTTGAAATTGCTTCTCCAGCTCGGTTATAATTAAGATATATTATATGTATATTTGTAGTGAAAGTAACGAATTTTATAGTTAATGCCATATTTGAACACTTTCGTTAAAAACTCATCAAAGCTTTAACTATGACGTCATACCTAATAAGCACATGTCAGGACGATATCGTGAAAGATCAGCACGGCAACCATGAGACGTCAACTGACAATTGACGCGTTATATTAGCAATAACCTGGCGAGGGTGCTGCACGTGTCGAGTCGGTTGCGGTAGGCTAATTAGTAGAAAATTGGGGAATTGGTTTCCCCGCAGGGTTCGCCGCGGAGCTGTAATTTACACTGTCGGTTGTTAATCAACTCCAGCCGTGCCCTATTCTATAATGATTTTCATTACTTTGTATTGATTGCCGGGTAGCTTCAAATTTTGCATTGATCACCGGGCAGCTAAGCCGCTGTCAAACAAACGGTTTGCGCCGTTCCTGTAAGTCAAATTAGTCGACTCACAGTCGGAATATGGGCGGTCTGTACGCTTCTCGAACGGAAGAGGTGAGGGGCCCACTCTGTTGAATTATTGTTCTTTTTCGAATTACAGACTCGAATACATGATATCATGAGTATCTACGACGATACCAAAGATTCAACTATCTTATGACGACAAACTTATAATTTCGTATGACTCCATAACAAGTGTAAACTCATTAGATTTAACTTCACGCTGGATATTATTGTATTCAGTTAACTTTTTACTCGAATGAAGGCCAATATGATAATAATAAATTTCCGTGACATCATTATTTTCATCAATATATTATATCTTGGAAAGTAGCTTACACAGACGTCTAAAATCCGTGAATGGTTCGTTGGCGTCTAAAATCGGACGCATACAGATATCATCTCAACTTACACATTGCAAACTTTCACAGTATTTATTCGGTAAAATTAAACGAGACTGGTGATAATATCAAAGTAGATTCACTCTGATGAACACATGAAAATGTGAAATTCTAATATGCTTTAATAAACCTACCGTGATATGAGTTGGAAATAATTGGTAAGACAACTAATCTATTTGTTTATGATCTCATCATATTGTGTCATATCATATCATTATTATTATTAGCATTATCAAAATACCGGTGCGCATGCTCTATGCGATCACGTCGGCATTGTGGTAATTAAAACAAAGCAATTGCATTGTGGGTAGTGGTGTGAAGGACCATTGTTATGATAACGACACAACTTGCTACAAAATTTGAACATAATGGAGGTTTGGATGAAGTACTCGGACGATGATATTAGAGGGAACTGGGCAAAACTATTAGTTTGGTGTATTTTTCGTATTACTTTTTATAATATTATTATTCATACCCAGGAAGAAACAAAGGGTCGGTTGAACAATATACTACTTTATTATTTACTAGACACAAAAATCACACTTTCAAATTGTCTGTTACTGAAATTGAAAAAAAAATTAAAGTCGTTTTTATTTAGTTTCTTTATTTCTGTGAATATTGGTACACACAAAATGAATAACTTAATTGCAGATGATAAAGTTATTTTTGCCGATTGTATTGTTTACAAAAAAATAAGTAATCTCTGCTTCTTTGCAGAAGAAGAAGCATGACGGTACGGTTATGCCTGTGGGAGGTTAGCCTGCATTTGGGATATGAACCCATAGCGGGAATGCAGAATGTCAATCGACAACAATGGTGGGAACTTGTATGCAAGGGACTACAGATGCGAACTTACAAAAGTGTTGTAAGTGCTCTGAAACCAAAAAAAACGTGTATTTTTCAATTTTACTAATACCGATACGTATAAATAGGCTGTTTATATGTTGTCGACGTGACTGGGTGTCACTGTGCAATGAGGAGGGTAAACAAGTGGACGGTGAATATCATTTTTGTTAAGTATGTCTCGTTTATCGGATGCTGAGAGCGAAATACATTCCACATAAAATGTCCTGAATACAAATAAATTTCATTTGTTTTACATGTAATAAGAGAATTATCAATTTGGAAACAAAAGATGGCTTGGCCAACAAACAATGTTACAGTTACTAGATATGACCACGATCTGGAACTGAATTCTGGGTGTGAAACAAATAGCAGCATGATGGCCGTCATTCGGAAAGTCGCAGAGGCTTAATGATAATAATGTTTCTGATCGCCCATGCGATAAATGCAGCTTATATTGACTGATATTATATAAGTAGCGCATATTACCCACGATTCTTTGCGGGGTTTCTTCAATCCTTGGTCAATGTAATGCCATGAACACAATACATAGATCCATCAAACGCTTGAAATTACAGTGATTCTTTCATTGAAATAAATTTTAAAAAATGCAAATACAAGTGGTACCATTAATAGTTATTATGACAGAAAGTTGCAATGGAGAAGTTAAAGATAAACTAACCACAGTGGAGTTCTATATGGGTGGTATTCATCCATTAAGACTTGTGATTGGTTAAGTCGTTTTCAATCGCCATTTGAAATCTCGAGAAACCCGGGACATGGAGCATCTTCACAGGGGAAACATGGTGCATTACCACACCCCTATTCAAGCACAAGATTCCGAGTCCGTAGCAAGCGAGCTCATCACCACGTGGCCTGTCCTAGATGAATCAGGTCTGTTATTGCCACTGTCTGTGTTTTGACTTCAAGGGAAGGTGTTCAGCAGTCTTTAGTGTCAACTATTTTGCTTGTATTGTGGCTGCCGTATATTGTAGGTTTCCCTTACCAACAAGAGGATACATTGCGACAAAAAATCAATTGACTGCAGAGAACAAATGCCTCTGCAGCAATGGAAACCCGCCACCACAATGCCATGTTATTCACTCACTGACTGGCGTTGTGAAGAACATTCTATTTCCATTACCTACAGTTTCTTGCTTTTTATTGGCTAGTTTCCATGGTAACGGTGTACTATCTTTCACCGTGCCTCTCTCTCTATCTACAAGGGAGAAACAATGAGTACTTAGTGGAAGTAAATAGACCGATGATCATTTAATAATATAAACACAAGTGTTACCAGATTTGTTTTGGTTAGTCCGAGTTCCTTGGCTTACATGTGATATTACATTCTATGTTGCACACTTGATGTATTATCGATACCAGCATGCATCTCCGCTAGGAGCCTTTCAGACTTCTCATTAACATCTTTGAGAAAACTCGGTATACCTGTAACCTGGAATACAGGAAAGTTAACTCGGTTTGAGGAAGCCTGCCCTGCATGTATGGTGATCAGCACGTAGATTCATTGCATCATCGTTTCTTGATGCCTTTCAAGTAAACTTTTCGCACTGTTGACTTGAATTGTCACTGGAGGAGCGTGTGCTCTCTAATGGTTGGGCCAATACTATACTCATAGTCCCCTCACACCGATTTGCTTCAACAACATATCACCTAAGGACGGTGTTCGTCCAAGGTCAACCCTTTTCTTGGCCAAGCAACCATTGACCTCCCTCCTCCTAAAAAACATACTGGGCCCAACATCCTGCAAAGAACACTGACAGAATTCAATTACCCCGTTGATCTTTGTTTAGCAACACATTTAGTCATGGTTGAAATGCTTTTATCAGCGTTTTAAGGGAGGAAACTACACCAGTATTCTTACGTTTATGACCCCCCCCCCAATCAGTTGATGACACTTATCTGGAACGTTTAGTGTAGCTAGGCCATTAAACTTTGTAAAAGGTTGACATGTAGTGCTTCTTAGTCTAATTAGTTTGTTCAGGTTATTTTCTCCAGAAAAAAAATATTGAAAGACATTTGTCTGGTACACATTTTGTTCAGGCATTTTCTTCCTTGTAAGCAGTCTGATGACTCCACCACTGAGTGCGTTTGGATTACTACTTGAACACGTTACAATTTGGCGAGTATTACCACTGGATATAATAACATCAGAAGAGATTTTTGTTAATATAAATGTTGTCTCGTGCTTATATATAGTCAACAGTCACCTCGGGGATTTCAAAACATTACTCGTGCACAGTGAGGCTTAACGTTAGAAACATGGCTTCTCAATTGTAAATGTGAGTAAATGATAGCCTTTTTTTACTTCTGTAGTCTTCACCTTATCTAACGGTATGGAAAGGTGTATATATGCTGTGTGTAACATAGGTTAAGTATCTGGGGCTGAGTAAGCGGCGTGAAAAACTGACCTCCCCGGGGCACGTGTTCCGCCAGCAATGAATATCAAGTTGAAATCGACATGACTACACTACTGAGACAGAGTTGCTAAAACATTGAGAGGCTCGTATCTCAGTAGCTTTTCACACTTGAGACCTCATCGAAGATGCCTGGAGATCCAGGGTAGCTTCAAATAAATTGGCTGTTCTGCGTAACCGACAACACCCCCGACACGAATTACGATTATTGAAGTGTAGAGCATTCACCATTATTAAAGTATTGACTTCCAGGTGATAATAAACGACTTGCTTCAGAAATCCAATATGCAGAATTGATGAATATTTACTAGATGTCGGTGAAAACACACGAGTTGAAGAATGAACGTAGACTACATAAAAATAGAAGACTTCGGAATGAAATAAGGCTAGTCAAATATGTGTGTATATGAGTTATCTTTATTACATCAACTCCCGCCCATGATGCCCTGACTAGCTCGGCCAAATAGCAGATACGACGTGAACATACAAGCTTCATTGACGCATGGGATTTGGGGAATATGTACGCTACACTGGAAACGAAAAAAAAAAAAACGTTCGCCGTGTGATTTCATGCTTAGATAACAATAATTAGAATCATACCAGGGGGTGCCACTCTAAACGGTGAATATGTCAAATATATTGTATTGAAAAAGGGATTAAATTTAAGGTAAACATATTCTCAATTGGTCGCCGAGAGATATACTATTTCCTGGTTTCAGTATCGCATGATAGTTATTAGCCGAGTAAGTCGTCAAACCCGCCATTTTGCTCATCTTTGTTCAGTGTTATATAATCACTGAATTGTACTAGTATCTTAGTTTCTTGAGAACATTTTGAGCGTATACAAGCTAGTGAAACTGATTTGCGACGAGAAACATCTTCGAACTAATCGAACAAAATATCACGCACACCTTAAACCGTAATGTAGGATTTGGGGGTTGCTCCCAGCACATACAAATTCCTGATGAGGAACACTTTGAATGTCAGTGACTGAGGATTAAATATTCCTTGAATGCAACGAAATTCAAAATTTAGTATCGTCCAAGGATTATCGACCTAAACACAAACACACCGCTGTGAGGATTAGACGAAAGGACTTTTTTTGCGAGATCATCCGCATCTTTAAAACGGCGCGATTACAAGAGTTGGATTTTCCAGATTTACTGTGACAATAATTTGTGGTCAAGGATGATCATGAAAATATTTTACTGCATAGTCGAAGACTACACGGTATTCACAGTTTCCGAGTTACCCAGTTAGCATGATACACGGATGGGCCCAGTACATACTAGTATACAAGGCTGAATTTGATGCATCGACAAACAAGCTGTTTGGTCTGACTGTTATGGTGGGTCAGATAAGAGAACAATCGTGCAAATGGTGATAAAAGCACCAAATTTGGCATAATGACTTCTAAGGGGGTACTTAAAAAATCCACCAGATTGGCCACTCAAAATTCCAAGACGGCGGCCATTTTTCAAGATGGCCGCCAGATGGCACTCCAAATAATGTTGTTTTTTGCATTTACAGGGTTATACTTGGCCAATTGGAGTGATCTTGGTGTCAATATATATATGGTTTTTGGCATGCTGAATTCAAATTCTTTTAGCTTTGCAATCTTCAGAGTACCTGTTATGCCAGAAAATTACATTTTCCTAGTTTTACAACTTTCAGAGTAACAATAATAACAACAAACATCTTGAAATTGTACATTTAATGTCTAATAAAACATTATGCAAACTTTAAACAATGAGCAATTTTGTCCTATTTCTTACTGCTCGCACACGCAACTACAGAATGCAATGCACCAAGCATTGCATGAGAATTAAGCAACTTTCGCTTAGACGATTGTTTCTCAATACAAGGCTTTATGAAATGAACTGGCAAATTAAACAAAAAACAAATGGGTGTATACTGTTTGAAATGTAAATCACTTGGCAATCTAAAGAATATAACAGACATCTTAAAAGTAACGGCCATAAACATTATAACAAGTCAAACCAATATAGAGCAGTCCTACCTTAGTCAATTGCAGTCTCGCAAAACAAAGCTAAAACTTATAAATACTGTTTTGTACCTTGTTTACACCCAAACACGATAAGAAGGTACAATTGGCAATTAATCAATTTGAAAATAAAAGTATATTAAATTAACAAAATGTATTGGTGTTTTGAAACATCATGTGTGAAACATAAATCCAAAGTCGTTCCAATTGCTCTAGAACTTCTTATACGAGGTTCAGACTACGATAAAGTAATTGGTTAAAACATCACTGAACAATTTACGTTACTTTATATACAGTAATTTTATAATACAAAATAACAAAAACACAGAGAAATATGAGTATAAAACAATTCAATGTTTTGACGTTCGTTAAAAATGGTCACAATCGATGATCTTGCATGCAATATTGGGATGCTGAAATGTGCGTTACCTTGAATAACATACATTCCAACTAAATCAAGTGTATCTTCCGAAAACATGTCTGACATATTACGGTTTTATACAAACTAGGTAGCCGACAAAAAGTGTGGCGATATTGTTCGTCTGCAGGTTTGTACTCGTATTATTCTTTTATAAGTTAATACATTTTAATATTTGTAATATTTGTAAACATTATCGTTGTAGGGTAATGTACATTTCACCACACAAAATAACGTTTGCTACTGGAGCTAATTTTCTAACACGCATTTATAATATTCGATAGGATGTTGGATAACCAAAATATTACTTGGGACATTATATCAAAACTACATATTTAGCTTTGCATTTGCATTGTTTAGAAAAAAATATCAACATATCAAAGCACCGGGACAGTAAATTACATGTTAGGAACATTACGTAAAATATGGTTACATTTACGGAATATGAAATTGATGAAACTTTCGATTTTTATAGCCAGTTTGTATTTTTAGTGTAGGATGCAACATATAATTCTCTAACTCTAATTCGAGAGGACTGCCTTGGACATCATTTGCACCTCCTTATTGAATGATTGAACTTGAAAAGATAAACACAGAATCTTGTTATCAAATTTCCACACAAACAATTACAAACTCCATTGCCTTCCCTACACTAAGTTTTTTACTGTGATTTATATTTTTCACCGTGACCCTTCGACACATCGCATATATCATCATTCTCGATACGCCCGTGTGAATCAAAACATTTCTCCATTATGCTGTAATTTCGATCTAATATAATTCTAAAACACCATCTTGTCATAATATTTTAAACCTTATTTTCACAAGCAAGATTCGATTTCCTCAATCTTTTGTTTATCAACCGTCATTTTATACACACGGCGCATGCGTACCGCGTGGATACATTGTGGTAATGGAGTTGGACACGATGAATAATATACATTTATGCGTTAAATTTCAATTACTTTCACATACGAGTTGATTTATATTCCACATTTACGAAAAAAAATATTGTACATAGAGAAATAATAATTGACAATTTTAGTAGTTTCGTATATATTTCTGCTAGTACCAGGGGGCATTAATAATATCTCCAGTTGTCTGTATATATACAAATGAACATTAACTCTAAACTGGCCATCTACATTTATTTTACGTAGCCCCTTTTACACGACGTTCATAAGTTTGTCAAGCTAACGCAGAGCAATGAAAGTGTAGTTCAAAACACCCATTAGTGTGTCTGTCTGAATGGCGGCTGCTCCAGCTGTTACACCGCAATGTTAATACGCGTCAGGTCCTTTTAAATTAGCCAACTCTAAAATTAGTTCTGGGACAATATCTATAGAATTTTACATCATAGACCAAAGTACTCACGATGTACATCCATTTGGGTCTATTTCAAGAACATTTTCTTTTGCAAAACCACCGCGAGGAAGAATGTTTTAGCGTCACTTAACTTGTCGAATCTGGATCCTTTTTAGTATTGCCTTTTAGCAGTGGGGATACAACCGTCTTTCATATTAATAATTCGTTCTAGTCCATGCTGCTCTACTGGTTAGTATACTGCAAACCTTGCAACGATTGGAAA